TTAAGGTTGACAGGGTTTAAGTTTTAGGGTTTAGGGTTTAGGGTTTAAGGTTTAGGGTTGAGGGTTTAGGGTTTAAGGTTTAGGGTTTAGGGCTTAAGGTTGACAGGGTTTAAGTTTTAGGGTTTAGGGTTTAGGGTTTAGGGTTTAAGGTTTAGGGTTGAGGGTTTAGGGTTTACAGTCTAAAGTTTAAGGAGGATTTAAGGTGTAGGGGCAGCTCAAATCGCTATCTTTGGGGGGGGGTTCGTGAACGTCGAGAAGTAGCCCGGAGAGAACCCTCCCTAAACCCTAAACCCTAAACCCTAAACCCTAAACCCTAAACGCTAAACCCTAAACCCAACGGCTCTGAGAAATCCTGCTGCGAGGCCTCGGGGCCTGAAGATATACAGTCCTAAAGGCCTGGACCCTAAACCCTAAACCCTAAACCTTAAACCCTAAACCCTAAACCCTAGACCCTAAACCCAACACCCTAAACCCTAAAATCCTAGACCCTATAAGCCCTAGACCCTAAACCCTAAACCCTCTATAAACACTAAATCCTCAACCCTGGGTTCGAAAGCCTCAATCCTGACGCCCAGCACGCCGAAACGAGGACAGTGGGGTTGGGTGGGAAGGGGTTGAGGAGTTGGAGTTTACCCCTTTAGGCTGGATGATAGCTCCTTGTTCTGTTTTAAGACATTCACTGAGGGTCCTATAAGGTAATCCCCCAAAAAGGAACTACCATGGAGCCTATGGTGCACAACTTCGCAGGTACATAGGCCCTGAACATACCAAGATGGAAGCCCCTTAGCCCCAAAGCTCGTTGGGTAACATAGGGGAGTAACTATTCATATCCTTTCGTAGGCAGACTGAAAAATTCATGTTGCTATTCCCCCACAACTTTAACCTGTTGTTTGTACCAAGCCCCCGAAAAGCCCATAGGTGTTCAGCCGGGCCTGTTTTTTACTTGGACCTTTCGGGCCTGTCGAGGATCCTTCCATAAATCCCGGCGCCTCCACTGTCCGTGTGGGCCAGGGATGGACCTGGCTAATAAAGAAGCCTAAACAATCACCGACATGTTCCCTGGGCTCCTTTTTGCAATTATACTATAAAGAAGCCCAGAAAGGGTTTAGGGGTCAGGGTTAGAACCCTTTTCTGATTACTAAGGCCCCTACGTTCATTGCGAATTTCGGCTGGGGATTCCCTAGAAGCCCGAATACCACATAGTGGGGGATCTCTTTAGGGTCTGTAGTCTTTTGGTGTACAGCGGTGACCGGATCCTTCGGGTTTCCCCTTGTCCGGGGCCCAAACCCAAGGACCCCTAAACCCTAAACCCTAATTTCTCGTTTAGGGTTCAGGGTTTAGGGCTTTGAGGGTTTAGGGTTTAGGCCGGTAGGTAAAAGCGACGTAAGGGAAGTTAGGGTTCGCGGTCTCGGGAGAACCTGCCGGCAAGAAAACCTGTGTCCTGGTGCAGCGAGTGAGCGAACTGGGTAAGCACGCACGATGTGTTCAAAGAACTTTGTTGTTCTCTCTCTCTCTTTCCCTCTCTCTACATATACATATACATCTACATATACGTATACATATGCATATGCATATGCATATGCATATGCATATGCATATGCATATGCATATACATACATACATACATACATACATACATACATGCATACATACATACATACTCTTTCATGCACGTACATACAACAAGCCCTAAACCCGAATCCCTGGCACTTCGACGTTTTGTTGCGTCCACTTTTCAGGTGCCGATGTGGGACGAGGCACACGAGTTCAATGCTCCGGAGGCGCTGGAAAGCTCAAGTTGTTGTTGGTGATGTTTTGAGCGGGCTCCTTTAAGGGATTCGATCAAGGGTCCTGCAAGTTAGTTGTTGTTTTTGTTATTGAGAGGCTCTTGCACTTCCATGCTTCGCATTGGCGGAAGGCTCCAGGAAGATTTCACAAAAGGCGCTGGGTTCAATGATCCCGCCTGCCTGAGGTACCTGAAAGCAGCAAATGCTTCTGTACCACAAAAGTGAGCCCTTGTACCTAATTTAGGGGTCTATATAATTTCCAATACCGTTTTGGGGGTTCCTTGTTAT